AAAGATATGTATCTTTATACATTAAAACGATGAGACTATTCGTTAGTTGATGAGATTTGTACATACAAAAAAAGGAATAATAAGGAAACTAAGCCTATTTATTTTAAAATAATGTCTCCTATGTGTATTTCATGTATATAGGAAGATTATTTTGCATTTAAGATGTAGAAATACGTTATTGGAGTATCTACAACCTTCAGGTTTAATTTTATTCCACTTTGTATTACGCTTTCTAACTTCTTATTCATATAAAAGTGTACGACTTAAAAGCGTACCTATAAAGGCGGGATGTATCGATTGTTTCGGCTGTAGATTGTCTGTGTAGAGAGATACCGGATGAATTTTGCATGCAACCCACGACAATGGCCATAAAACCGGCGTAGAGATGCAAAGGCGATCCAAGCTATTCCTTGTAAATAGCGTTATCCGACGTTTTGATTCTTTTTTACATAATACACACGGAGTAAATGATACATAATTATAACTTTAAAAAAAACCAACTTCATAAATTTGTGGAATAACATCTAGATATTTGACAAGTTTTATTGAAATCGGTTAACGGATAGTGGAAGAAATCCAATAAATTGGATACATGCCCTAATTTACCATCCTTAGAGGTGGAATATTTTCTTCAAATTTGTATGGAATCGGTTCAGAAATATCGAAGTATACGAGTAAAAAAATGTACAAAAAATACAGTCGTATTGAGAATACAGTTGTATTGTCCTCCTTTTTTGAAGTCAGATAAAAACTCACGTAGTGATCTTTCTATATTATACTTTGCACCTTTTTTGTGTAAGATTGTGTATACTTGGTACTTGGTGCAACGGGCTGGTATCCGCAACTCGACGACAAAGCGCCTAATTTGCGTGTAAGATTGTAAGATTGTGTATATTTGTCTCTTCACCTTATGGTAAGTGAATATGTAGAACAAATATTCAGAAAGGTTTCAATTTCACTCGGACACTGGCTGCAATATGGATTTTCTGTTACTTCCTATACATAGCTTCCTAAAATGGCTTGCACAGATGAAATAAGATCCATAAAAACGGTTTCAGAGCAGCCGCCTGAAAGCCCACCCCCTCTGAAGACAGGGACTGAAATTGCCGCTGCACCTGACTTGCCTACCAATGACATTTTTATATTGCTATTTGTTTTGGTCTACGGACTCGCCGGTGTCATATTTAATAATAAAAAGTAAAGTTTACCAATGTCGTATAGGTAGGTAGAATGTTTGTAAAATTATGAACTCATAATTAACTGAATTTATTTTCACTTTCTATAAGGGATATGGACTTTTTTTCCAAAATTAGGTCATTATTAATATATATTCGCTATATTGAATTACACATACTATTACATGTACAAATATTTTATTGACAATGAAAGGTAGGCGGTGACATGAACAAAAATGTAGCATATTTCCAGCTAAGTATGCATCAGGTCCTCACTCTAAATTTTGACGAGGAACTCTGGTGGCCAACAGCTGGTCTATGTGCCTCTTCCAGACTTCTCCGGTGTAAGTTTGAAGGTCGTAGTGTAGTTGGCCCAAGTTCCTTCTTATTGTCGCCAACACCCATTCATGACCAGTGGGCATGTATTTCCGAGCCTGACCCTCTAACCCTCAAGGAGAGTACGTAACGGACATCGAACATTGCGTGTCAGAGGTGGAGACGTGGTCGTTGTTGATTTAACAAAATAACGCGTGTAAGTTGGTTCCAATTGGTCTCCGAAACACCATTTCATAGGGACTGATGCCAGTTGAACGACGTGGTGTTCTCCGTAATTGGGTCTTAATAATTGATATTTTATTGACAATGAAAGGTAGGCGGTGACATATACAAAAATGTAGCATATTTCCAGCCGTATGTATAAATCAATTATCAACCCATTTATATGTCTTCTTATTGGATACGGAACACGAGCTTCCAGAGGTTCAAATTCAAGTTGATAAATAGGCTTATTCTTGTTATTTCTTCAATCATGTTTCGGCTATGTGTGTTCTTTGGAAATGAATTCACACAGAAATTGCGTTTTAAAATTAACGACTATATAATTTATTCGTCTCTCATCATAGTCAACCTATGTATACGTGTCACTGTCGAGCACGGGTCGCATCTCAGGGAGAGGTTACGCCGTAGTCCGCTACGATAGCCCAACGCGGGTTACGGACTACACACGTTTTCCAAGGGTTCTCAACCTTCTTCGACATCCAGATTTCATTACGATGTTTTTTGCCTCACCGAAAAGCTCTTGATAAATTTCTAATTAAATTCCAAGTAACTCAGAGGCGCGAACCCGGATTCAAACCCACGGCCTCTGTTTGAGATGCGGTAAGTCAAACCATTAGGCTAACACGGCTTTATGATACTTTTCTTTAATTTAAAATATTTGAAAGTGTCGACAATAACACCATATGTGACATAGCGCACAAGTAGTAGTAGTAGTAGGGCTCCTTGTGAAAAAGTTCGTCCAGGTAAGTACTGCCACAATAACCTCTTTCTGCCGCCAAGCAGTAATGTCAGCATTACTGTGTTCCGATTTTGAAGGATAAGGATAAGGAAATTACAGGTACATGGGACTTGTCAACTTAAGTCTCTTTGCGATTTAAAGCTACGAGTGGCATTGCAACTGTTATGGACAGGCGTGTAGCTTACTATCAGGCGCACGACCTCGATATTATAAAAAAACAAGGTATATTCTTGCAGCTGTATATATTTATTTATATTTAGGTATATTACATATTATTTAGGTAGGCATTAACGGCAAACGT